TTAAGATGTCTTTTTAATTTAAGGGATGATTAAGGATAGTTTGTGAAGAAATTATGTTTTTTTTTCTATTAAGGGTAATTTTGGTATCTTTTAAAAAAATTAACAAAATTTTGGATGGAAAATCAAATTAGGGGGGTAAGTGATAAAATTTTTTTGAATTGGGGGGTAAATGATTAAAAATTTCAGGGAAGAGGTTAAGTGATTTTGAGAAAACTTGTAGGGTTTTTTTTGAAGTTTTCCCTAAACAAAATGTACTCATTCAGTCTCTTGATCATAAGTTAACACCCATTTAATCATTCAATAATAGTTCCTGAATCTCGTGATTTATGTACAGAATAAGTTGATATATTTAAATGTTAATTTTCTTGATTAGAGAGATTAAATTGATATTATTTATCTTTTTAAGGACCAAAATAATGTTAACTCAAACTTTTATTTGTGAAATAAATATTTATTCTTTTATTTTTTATTTAGTCTAATTCGAGCACTGTCAGATCTATTATAAGATAAACCTCTGGTTAAGGGGAACAAGCTCCTTATCTCTTGAACCAATGGTTGTACAATTTTTTTTAATTTGCTAATAATATTGTACTTAATTATAAATAAATACAATATTATTTGCAAATAACATACACCATAACATCTCTTTGTGAATCTCTTTTGTTAGCTCATCGATAATTAGGACAAAATAAAATAAAATAAGAACTCAATGAAAAACCTTGAAAAGTAACTTGATGTTTCATAAAAATCTTCACATATAGAGAGTAGCACCATCGTATATGTACTTGATGTTTGAAACGAAATTCGGAGTGAGTGAGAAGTCTTATATTGACTAAAAATAGGCTAAGTGTGGATTATAAATGTAAAAAAAAAAAATTATGATCTCACAACCTCAAGGGTTTGGGTGGAAATATGGAGAAAATTACTCTTATGCTATATGTGATAAATTTTTCTTCTACATACCTTTCGATAAATGTGCCACTTTTTTTCTTTTCTTTTTATTTTTCAAGTGGTGGAGCTCACAAGTTTATCTCTATAACATGAGATAACTTATCTCTTTTAACATGAGATTAATAAAACCCTGAAAATATAGTACTAAATCCATTTATCATGATTTATCGCTTAATTGATGAGAGAATCACTTCATACTTTTTAATCTTTCCAAGCATAGCTAGAAGTACCATACATGTCCTTGATCGATCTTCCTTGCATAAGCACAACTCCATTTTATTGAGTCTCATTGCCTTGTTACTTAGGTGTTTGAACTGAGACAACAGAACTTATCGTCTATTTGGAAGTAACGGAATCTGCGGAAGGTCACATTTTAATTCGGTAAGTACTTGCCATGTGAATATTAGATTCCATGTACGACATGTGTTGTGGTTGTATATAATGGAAACATGAAACGGTGCAAGGTCACGGTATTTTCTTTTGAAAGCGAAGAAGAGAAAATTAGCACCTTGAGTCGAGTTTGCCTCCTCCTACTCAAAGATTGATAAAAAAATGGAGTTATGTAGCTTCGAATTTAAAGTAACTCTCGTAAACAAAATCATTTACATCCATTTTTTATTTTTATTTTTTAGATAAATCACATTTATCTTTCATGAGAGACAATTCTGAATTAAAACTTTAAATTCTTCCAAAATGATACTAAGGGTGTGCATGACAACCTTCCCGGAATCAATTATTTTTTAATTTCTGTTCTCGGGAACATAAGAAATGGATAGGAAACTCGTTTGGTAAAACCAGTTTATTTTTTTGTTCCCGGGATGAACCGGTTTAATTTTTGTGCTAGGGAACAGAAAAAAGAATAAAAAATTTTCTACTTTTTTGTTCCCGAGCACAAAATGAGAAACACTTATCTCTCTCAATCACTCTCCACCTCTACCATCACCACCACCACCATCATCCCGAACACGACTGTCGCCACCATCGTCGCCGCCGCCATCATACCACTAGTGCCGTCGTTACCACCCCTCACCACCACGATGTTATCGCCACCATTACCACCACCTCCACCCATCACTACCACCATGCCACCGTCACCACCACCACCACAACTACCACCCCCGCCACCACTACCGCCATCAACCACCACCTCCATCATCGCAACTACTGCCGTCACCGCCACCATCGTCATCACACGCCATTGCCACCACCCTTATCGCCATCACTACCGCCACCATTACCACCACTACCATTGTCGTAGCCACTATCGTCACCATCACTTTCGTTGTCGCTGCCACCAACCACCACCATCATCGTCACAGCCATTACCCTCACCACCACCACCATCGCCACCTTTACACCACCCCCACCCCCGCCACTACCATCACTGTCACCTAACACCGCCGCAACCACTGCCACCACCACCACCATGATGCCTTCACAACCACCACCGCCATGTCACTGCTACCATTGTTGCCGCCACCAATCACCATACCCACCACCATTGTCGCAGCCATTGCCGTCACCTCCACCACTATCGCCGCCGTCGCAGCCACTGCCGCCACAACCACCACCACTACAACCAACAATATCGTACCATCCCGCCACCACCACCACAACCACACCATATGGAAAGGAAAGTGATGATCCAGAATTTTTTTATATTTAATAGAATTATTTTTTATTATATTATTTGTTGTGTTATCAAACACAATTCTCATTCTCGAAATAAAAATAGAACATGTTATCAAATATTTTTTTTTTTTCAAGAACTGTTCTAAGGCACAGAAATAGAAAAGAATTGTTTCTTTTCAGAAACAGTACTAGGAAATAGAATGGTTGTCATGCACACCCTAAGAGACACATGCTTTCATCTCCATATGTTCAGCTCACATGCATAAAGTGAGATATCATCTTTTGATTTACATCTATTTCTATTCTTCCCTTATTTTCTCTCTCTTATTTATTAATATAAATGATGATGTACACAAAATATATGTGCAGGAATCATATCTAAATCAACCAATGATTAATAGAACCCAGATTTTATAGCTGATTTGACAATAATTTATATACTTCAATAACTTGTCATGAATAGAATTCTTTCCATAAGATGGAAAAGTCGATCAAAAATATATTCTTTAAAATAAAATTTTATTTAAAGTGAATAAATAAATGCGTGTTGACTCTTAGTTTGTTTTAGTAAATTAAAATAAAAGATAATTATATTACTTATTTATTTTAGAGATAATTTACTTTAAAAGTTTTTATATATATAACAATGAAAAATATGTTTCTATTAGATAATTTTGTCTCATGAACACATGCTAAAATGAGTGTGATTCACTTTTTTTCTTTTCTTTTTAGTGGGTTCCTCTTAGTTTATTTTAATTTACTAAAATTTAAAGATAATTATATTACTTATTTATTTTAGAGATAATTTACTTTAAAAGTTTTTATATATATATAACAATGAGAAATATATTTCCACTGCTGCATGAAATAATTTTGTTTCATGAACATATACTAAAGTGGATATGATTCATTTTTTTTCTTAATGAATCCCACTTTTTTTTATACTACATGAGATAATTCATCTTCCACAATAAGATAAACATATTCGTTATAACAATTTGCCTTTAACAGGTACAATAACATTTTAAGAAGTCTGATGGAAATAAAAATATATCCATAAGCAACATATACTTTTATAAATTATGCTGAGGAGCAGCACATGAAACATTTGGTCACACCTGAAAAAACTCCAAATAACTGGCAAAATCTAGTGGCCATGATATAGTGGGGCAGGGGCATCAAATCTAAGGGATAAAATTGTCTTTAAGTGGAAAGACTATGACAGTTCTGACATTGACCTTTTCTGCTAAACCAACATTGAATAAGAATATAGTTTATGGAATAAACACAATTATTCTGTCATTATAAGAGAGGATTACAAGACAAAGACCATTTATAAGACAAAAACTAAAGTTTAAAAACAACCCAATACCCCGTTTACTGACAAAAACATCCTCTAGTGGAGTGGAACGGTTTTTACTGACCCTGCGTTTGACTCCTCTTTTTACTCACTAGTCACACTTGCCTTGCATGTGTGTCCTCCTTCAAAACTTTTGAGAAATATTAATATCATGTTGTAAAAAATTAATATCTATAACATAAATGATATGAGATTCATTTTTTTTAAATAAATAAACTTCTTATATTTTATATCTATGACATAAATATTAGTCTCTTACAATATCATATAAATATTCCCCATTATTTTTAAGGGAATAACTAATATTATGTTATAGAAAAGTTGTTAGGTCATGTCACAAAGAGAAGAGGTTGTGGGATCCACTATTTTTAAAATAAAAGAAAAGTAAAAGAATTGATGGGTCTACTTTTATGTTTGGGTAAGAAAATAACTTGTGTCATGTAAGAGGAGGAAAATATTACCCTATTTTTAATCTCTCTAGGCTCTACTAGTCTTTTTACCACACCATTACCGTACTGAATTCATCAAGTGCATATTGCCAAACACTAGAAATCTGTCTTCTCTTTCTTTCTCGAGCCCCTACCTTCTTACTCACCTATCCTGGCCTCCCCCTCTCTCTCTCTCTCTTCTTTTCTAGTGTGTTGTCAAGTTATATACTTGCAGTTTTTTTAAGGATATTTTTTTTTTGCTAATGGTACAGTTTTTTGGGATTATATCTCCATTAAGGCACTACTAACTCCATCTATCATTACAAGATAAGAGTTGCTGGGTTGGTCTAAAACTTGTTCTACATCTGCATTTTTGTCTCTGACTCTCAGAAAAGAGGAATGGTTTTGCTCCCAACCTTGGGAAAAAAGTTCTTTTTTTTTTTTCTTTAAACCTGTTTCTTTTAAAAAACACAGTTGAATGTTCACTCTCCATCTGGGAAAGCTCCCTCCTTTTTGTCAGATAAAAGAACAGCACAGTCCACCAAGTAAGAACCTTTCTCACTCCATCTTCTAAAAGCAATCCAACTCTGGTAAAGGTAAGGAACACCCACTACACATTAGTGAAAGAGATGGGATGTGTTGCCTCCAAACTAGAGGAAGAAGAGGAAGTAGTGGCTATCTGTAGAGAGAGAAAACGCATGTTAAAGCTAGCTGTGGACAAAAGATATGCACTTGCAGAGGCTCATTGTAAGTATTTTCACTCTCTGAATGCAGTAGCTGCGGCCATTAACCTCTTCGTTGCACGCCATTCTTCACCTTCATCACCTTTCCTCATAACTTTCCCTCCTCCTTGTCCTTCTCCTTCTCCACCAACTGAAAATGTGATAAACAACCCTATGTTCCTACAGCAGACACCATCAGAAACCAAGCATGAAGCCATTGCTTGTGACTCTTGCATTTCTTCAACAACCTCAGAGTCTTCTGAGGAAGAGAGTGAAGAAAAAGAAGAGGGTGAAGATGAATGTAAGAGAGAAGAGCAAGGTGAACAGTCATGTGAGTACTACTACATGCATATGCCTATGCCTATGCCTATGCCTCCACCTTCAATGCCATCCCCACAGAGAGATTTTGGGTGGGATTTCTTCTACCCATTTGACAGTGTGAGGACAGAGGTTATCAGTGGATACCACAGGAACTCGGATGATGATCTGAGGGTAGTGAGGGAAGAGGAAGGGATTCCAGAGTTAGAGGAGGAAGTAGAAAGAGAAGAGCTTGAGCAAAAGGTGATGAGTGTTGAAGAGAAAAATGAAGGTGTTGAGCAAGTGATGAGTGGTGTTGAAACTGTGAAGGTGGTGGATGTGGCTACTGAAAACCAAGTGGAGCAAAAGGGGCTTGCAGTTCTTGATACACCAACAGAAGGGAGAGAGTTGCTTGAAGCTTTGAAAGATATTGAGGACTATTTTGTAAGGGCTCATGATTCTGGTAAGGATGTAACCAGGATGCTTGAGGCTAACAGGATACCCCTTCATTCTAGTTTGGAGGAAATAAAAGGTGGGTCCTATCCTATCTTCAATGTCTTCCTATAAATCTCGGAAACTTTATGAGCTATTTTGCAAATATCAAATTCAAGTTGTAGTTGAGTTTCTTGAATTATAACTAGTTATAGTAATAATTAGAATGAGGTTAAGTAATTGGTTCATGAAAAACTTGTACGTTGTTTTGTTGGCCCTACCTCAGATTAGCCTCAACTTCAGCATGTGCAAGGTATGGTTTTCTTCATGTCTCCGTTGACTTGTTTTTCATTTCCATTATGGACTATCCCTTTGGCAGTCCTGCTTTGGGTATTCTCGGGTAAACTCCAATTTTGGACACCTTAGTTCGTCTTTATACTTGTAAATACTTGATTTGAATTTCCTCATATTCCTGCACTGCTAATGTTGGTGTTGTCTATTATAAGTACTCAAATTAACAGTTTACATGTATGTATGAAGGCATTTTTTAATGATAGGTGCATTTCTAAACTGGCCCACATATCAAAGAATTTTTCTGTTTTCATTTGTGAACTAATTGCAAGATTTATCTGATCCCTCAAAAGGAATGCCAATCTGTCAGAGTTGGTGTGTGTTTAGATTTGCTAAATTTATGTTCAAAATAGTTTATAATCAAAAGCTTACTGAGAGAGATCTTGAAGAAGAAAAAATAATTTTGCTCTAAAAAATAGTCAAAACCAATGGTATTATTATTTTCGCATACATTGGAATGGATAAACATTACAAGATCGATATTGTGCATGTCTCATCTTGTGATATCTGTTCTCTGTATCTATTCTTATTACACTGATGCGCTTTATAATTTATGTACTCCTCCTTCGTATGCACTTCATTATCTCTGATGTGTTAATAAGCTGATTCCATGCTTCGGTTTCAAGTTTCAATCTTTGAGATTTTGAACCAGCTGATCTCCATGCAGAAAGTTCAACCAAACTCATTCATGCAATATCATGGAAGTCCACTTCATCTAGGTCATCGTCATGCAAGAGTCTCGTAGTTCCAAATATGAAAAATTCTTCAACTTGGGTTGAATATAAGAATGATCTATTTGATGATTATGAAGGAATGGTTTCGGGAAGTCATTTATTAACATTAGGAAGATTATATGCATGGGAAAAGAAACTGTTTGAGGAGGTTAAGGTAGGTTAATTTTATAATTCCTTTTGTTTGAATTCATATTTATTGTTTTATGTTGATACTGCTTCAACATGTATTCTGGAATGGATCAAAATAATTCTGAGCCATATATCTGTGCTTACTTTCTTTCACATTTTACATTTATCTACATAAAATTTCTAGGGCATTTAACTTTTAGCAGCGTTTGACATTAGTAAAGGGCAGACTCAGATTGGTGATATAAACATATCCAGAATTATTTGAGCATGGAATGATACAGCTTAGATTACTAATTGGTGAATGAAAAATTGAAATACTAAGTAGATTTTAGTACCTGGTTTTGCAATCCTTCTTCCAATGAAAAGGTGTGTCAAGGAGTGGTATTAATTGGATAGCTATTTGACAAATATCTATTCGTAGAGTAGCAATATCATTACATGTCATGTGTTGTGGTTTAATTTTCTTTCTGGAAATACCAATATTTTTACAAGTGGATTGTCAATCACCTTGACCTCCAAACTTTTTAACTAAAGACAGTCAAGGCTTTTCATTTTGCTAAGATTTATAATTGTTTTGTCCAATGGAATGGTTTTAGACTTTTATAGGACCCACTTTTAACTGCATGATGTTACATGGGATACTGTGCAGTTTCAGTAATTTCTTTTCATGTCTCAACATATGTCTTATATTCAATGAATTTCTGTCTGTCAGTAAAGAAACTGCTAAACTTAACAACATCCCATCCTTGATAAAAATGAAAACAAAGTGGGGAGGACTGAAATCAACTTCCCTTGAGAACTTCTAATATATATATATTTTTTTGGGCATGCATTCTTAACAGATGTAGTTCCTTCTTGTCCCTTCTTGCTTTCAACATTTGAGAATTTTCCTTACCTCAGGCTGGAGATAACACTAGGAAAAGTTATGAGAAAAAATGTGCACAGTTGAGGACTAAGAATGTTAGAGGAGATGATGAACTTAGCATGGACAAAACTAGAGCTGCAGTGAAAGATCTATATGCTGGTATCTTGGTTGCAATTCGACGTGCTGAGTCTATCTCTAAGAGAATTCAGAAAATGAGAGATGAAGAATTACAGCCTCAAATTGTTGAATTATTAAAAGGGTGAGTTAATATACTACTGGAAACTAAACAGACTAAATAATTTGTAGATTCCTGACATTTTCCCAATGCAGCCTGACCCAATCATGGAAAATCATGTTGGAGTCCCATGAAACCCAGAAAAAGATTCTTTCTGAAGTCAAATCTTTCACATGCCCCACGTATGGGAAATTCTGCAATCAATCTCATAAGTTTGCAACTCTTCAACTTGAAACACAGCTTCAAAATTGGCGCGTGTGCTTTAGAGAGTATGCTGCAGCTCAAAAAGCATATGTTGAAGCTCTCCATGGATGGCTAAGTAAGTTCATAGTCCCTGAAGTTGAATTTTACTCAAGAAGCAAAAATGCTAATATGCCATATCAAGTCAACGGACCACCACTACTTGTGATATGCAATGATTGGTTAGCTTCCTTGCAAAAGTTACCTGATAAAATGGTAACACTTGCATTGAAAAGTGTTGTGAAGGATGTTAGAGCACTGTGGCTTCAGCAAAGTAAAGAGCAGCAGCAGAAAAGGAAAGTAGAGAGCATAGAAAAAGATTTAGACAGAAGATATTCAGGATCACATAAAGTGAAGAGTAAGATGCTTGAGTTGCAAATTACGGACCAGGTGGGAACAGATGATCAAGAAGAATGCATGAATGATCATTTGGAGACACTAAGAAGAAAACTGGAGGCAGAGCAGGAGAAGCACCACAGTTGCATGCAAGAAACGCAGAGGATCACATTAAACGGATTGCAATCTGGGTTTTCACTAGTGTTTGAATCTTTAACGGAGTTCTGCAAAGCATCTCAAAAAATGTACAATGAACTTGTAACTTATAGTGAAAATGCTGAGAAAGATGGGAATGTTTCGTATATAGAAGGTGGTTGCAATGTTGAAAATGGACAATAGTATTAGTGAGGGACATATTTATGGATTTGGGGTGATTTATGTAATTATATTATTATGTTAGTGTTGTGTCGAAGCAGCTCGCTGAGACATCAATTTTTAAGGTATTAGTATTGGTATTGTTGGTGACATCGCCCTCTTTGTTGTTTGTCAATTCTGAATATTTCCCCATTCTCTGTATATTAATTCAACAAGTTAGCATCAAGGCTTTGAGTGAAGGTGCTCGTATAACATTTTGCGCTGCTTTTTTTTTTTTTTCCTTGTAAGAGTTTTTAAAATACTTTATATGAATTAAATTAATATTAGAAAAAGTTATAGTTTCTTTACCATATACAAGTGTGCTATATAAAGGAAATTATACCGTGTATAATATATGGTATAAATTTTAAATGACTCTAGATGTATTATATACAAATAAAAAAATAAGTTTGAGATAACTCCTTAAATGCTGGGTATATAATATGTGAAACTCATGCCTTATGAAAATCTCTGTTTCTTAAATTCTTCATCCAAACACAATCTGTGTCGCATGCCGAAAAGGTTGAGGGTGTGGTCTTTACGTGAGAGATGTACAAGTAGATAAAGCAAGTGCTTATGATCCAACAAAAAAACACGAGGGAAATGCATTATCATAAAGTTTTGGGACAAAACCCCATAATGTAGTAGGTCGTCTAGTGTAACATGGTTTGATACCCATCAATAAACAGAATGTTTTACCTTTGGGCTAGGAAAATCACTTCCACGTGAGGCAGTGTGTTTTAAGTTTGAAAAGCAAATAAGAAATCAAGTGAAGGTTTAAAAACATCTTTAAAGGACTAAAAAAGGAAAAAACAACTACCAAGTGGTTTTTTTTCATTTGGTCTTATGAAAGAAAGCAAGACGTATTAAGATTGCAATATGCTCACCAACTGTGAACATAAATATGCATCTGTCCAGTATAAGTTTCATGCTTCTAATTTGCAAAATAAACAACTACATTGTATTCGAAGTTTTGTACAATATGCAATGATTTCACATCCTAAAAAAACATGGGTATGACCATACTGCATGCAAATGAATAATTACAAGTTTCAACCAGTTCTCTACAGTTGACCCTACCACGGGGCCAGCTATGAGCCCTCCTATGGTTATAACAGTAGCCTCCCCAGTCTACCTTTGGTATGATCATGCTGCATGCAAATGAATAGTTACAAGTTTCACATTTTAATATAAGATCATCATGTTTTCCTGTCTACCGTAGGTACAGAGAAACCAAGAACTGAGAGACAATTATGATTTCACTAACAACAGCAGCAGGGGAATGTATGCCCAGAAATGGGACAATGTCTACCTGCAACCAGTTCTCTACAGCTGACCCTACAACAGCCCCAGCTATAAGCCCACCTATGGTTATAACAGTAGCCTTCCCTGCAAAAATAAGCAGAACATAAAATGAGGAAAATGAGAAAAGAAAGAAAAAGTTTATGACAACCTAAAAGAATTAAGCAGAGTTGAAGAAGAGGTAAAAGGTCTGACAAGCTTTGAAAAAGATCCCAACCACCTACAGCTAGAAGTACCATTGTTAAGGTAGTCCACTTTTTCAACTGCACTGCCATACTTTACTTGATACTTCTTAGCCCTTCCAGACACAGCCATTTTCACAGACATAATCTTCATGTTAGGTAAATAAAGCCTCATCTTAGAGACTTGAGCAGTCGTATCCAGATTAGTAAGCACCAGAATTACGACACTGTTCTATAAACCTATAACCAAACTTTTAATCCTGGGAGTCTGGGTGAACATAAGAAATGAAGTCAACTCAACAGGTTGGCCTCATTGTTCTGACTAAGTCTAGTATACTAGTTAATATGGTAGCCACTACTGTGTGCTCCAGGTCTAGTTACAGTGCAAGTCAAAAGTTCAGCACACAAAATGCTATAATAATTGGCTAAAAACTTAACTTATCAGCCTATATCATGCAAGGTCTCATTACGCACATAGACCTTGCATTACCTCGGAATACAATCTAGAACTTTTTGTAGTAATAGATAATGACAACGACAACAACCAAGTCTATCCCACTAGGTAGGGTTTAGTAACACGGATCAAATGAAACAATTATGTTCTATACTTCTATCAAGAACCAAAACTTCAGAAAATCCAAGAATTGAGGTTGATTCATATCACTCATTGCTTTCATCTGCATAACTGTCATCAGAATATACGGTTTCAATAAACCAAAAAGAGAAGGTAAAATTCATCATTTTCATTTTCCTTTTCTCTTGTTCTCCCACAATTATAGCCTTCTCAATGCTCACTTTCTTTCCCACGTACAAGTCAATATGAATACTGCCACTCATGAAAAAAAATTCTTTTGAATTGTAACAAACTGATATAGAGTACACAATATCCATGAGAAATCTCCTCACCTAACTTAACCTTCTTTTTGGTCATGAAGTACAGGGAAGCTCCAAAGCTACCAGCCAATATTAGTCCTGGAACATCTGTCCCACCATATGCTGCAGAGGCTGCAGAAGCCCCATTAATGTAAGTTAAACCCATCAATGCACCATAAACTCCAGCTTGTAAACCAAAATCACTGGTGGAGGGTGACTCAATTGAAACAGGTGAATTCTTCATGGTGGATTGCAACCATTGAGGCATTGATCCCATAGCCGGGGACTTAACACGTTTGACATCAGCATAACGAACACTGCTGCTCACTACTTTTCCTGCCCGCCGCTGAGTTAGGCTTTGCATAAGTAACATGTCATATGCAGCCTCAACCTAAAAAAACACCAACCAATTGCATCAATAGAGGAATAAACATTATCCAGAGTTCTAAAAAGAGTTAACTAGGGACTGAAAATGCAGGGTATTAATGCTTTCCACTGCTGACCAATCACCAACTAGAGGATTGACCTTGTCATTGGCAATCAATAACAAACATAATACCCCATGCTCGTATTTAATGCTTAAAGGAACCTTAACCAAATGACACCCATCATTTTCTTTTCCAATCCACATATTACATGCAAAACCAAAACCAAACAGCTCACAAAGTGAGGAAAATATTGCTGAGGTGGTAGGAGATAATAGATTAACCATTTGTCAAATATAGTTAACCAATAACATACATTCATGATTAGTGGTTAAGTGGTGAAATCAATTTGACCGTTGGTTAAGCACATGTCTGTCAGGTTTTGTGTATATTGTCTCTGGGATATATCATTTCTGAACCATATATAGGGTCGGTTTAGCTGAGTAGGTGGAACATAGAGAAACCGAAGTTATGGCACCGAGTGAAAAATAAACTCATTTTATTTTCCACCTTCTTATACTTCTGTTATAACAAGCAAAGCAAGTATAAATTGATTTTGATTCCAAATTAAACACCTTCCCAGTTCCTCCTACTAATCCAATTACCAAAAATACTCAAAAGAGTAATAAAAGTATCAACCAATCACTGACAAACAACATCGAATTTATGACTCCATATCTAATGCGGATAAAAGGGGTAGTGGCAAATTCAGCATAAAGGAAGACCCAGAAACCAAGTTTAAATTTTTCTATGATGGGTTCCTTTCTTTTTCATTCACTCAACGAATAAAAACAAAAACACAAAAACAAAAAACATATAAACCACACAAAATGCGAATGAGTAGTTCGAATTCAGCGAAACAAGCACAAAAATTGAAGAAAACCTGTGCAATCATTTCCTGGTCATCCTTGCAAGTGGCGAGGATGGAGTTTTTGGCGCGTAGTATATCGTCGAAGGAAGCACCCTCCGAGACACCAAGAAGCTTCAGCGCGTTTTCCACGGACATCTCGAACGGTGCAGAGTCATCGGCTCGAGACCCAGCCTGAACCGGAGCCACGGTCCTCGTTAACACGCGCCTAAAGGGTTTTTGTAGCGGCGCGCCTCGCCATGGTTCGGTTACGATTGGCTTTCCGAGTCGTCGAGCCGGCGGTCTAGGGAAGACTGAACCGGCGGAGAGACGGTCGGACCGGACGGAGAGAGTGGCAGCCATTTAATTTGTGAGAGAGAAATGAAATGTGAGGCTTGGAGTGACCCAACACACAAAAAGATGGCAGAAATTGTAATAGTAACTTCAACCGCAACACTTTTTTGTGCTGCTTCACGAATCACCACCGTCGAACTCGTATCGTATCTCTCTCTATCTATTACGGTACATTATTGAGTTATATACTGTATCCATATGATATTCCATACACTATTATAATGTTTATATCACTGATTTTCTATATGACCACATGTACGAATTTGTTATTATAATAATTTAATAAATTACAACTCTTTTATGTGCTTCTTGTTTCATTTTCGTAGCCGTCCTTAATCTAATAAGTTGATAGCTATTTTATAGAATTGGTCTACTTTTTAAAGCTTTCTAAGTTCAAACATTCTAAGTTAACATGTTGTTGGTACACAGTTTTTAATCTAACTGTATCCACTCAAACATTCTAAGTTCAGTTTTTAAGCTTTTTTTTTTTATCTTTTTTGGTACACAGTTTTTAAGCTTTTTTTAATCTAATAATTTATGATAAAGTTTTTTGAAGTTAGATGGGGGTGTAAAGTTATAAGAATATTAGTATGTTCTTTTATAGGTTTGGAAGATAGATTTCCCTTTTCGAAGTCATATTAGAAATTAACACAACGGAATGGATTATAAATTAAAAATTAAAAATTTTACCGATACTTCTACTGAAATACTCGTGTTTTTGCTTGCGGACTTTTCAGCCACTCTTCAATTTAGAGGTGTCAGTTGATGTTCTTTTTCTTTTTCTTTCTCTTTTTTGCTTTATAATTTTTCTTTATGTATAAGAAAAATGTACAATTTATATAATTTTGATAATAAGTGTTTTTAGGGTGTTGTAAATGAACAAAACTACTACTATTGATATAGTGTTGAGGGATTTGGATAATCTGCATAAAGAAATATATATTTGACACTCATGTAATACATACTCCTCCTTTATTAAAAAAAAATGGGACTTAGATGACATGACTATAAAAAAGTGAATAGAATAAAATGAATTGTATTATTTTTCCTTTTTAATAAAAGATATTCAGTACATACGTAATATCAAAGATATTTTTTTGCATAAAGTTATAGGTTCGGACCTTAGTGCCATCAATTTATAAAAAAAAGAAACAAAATTAGATAAAAATAAAAGTTTTGAAAATATTTGTATTGAATATTTTATTTTTCATTTATTAATTTTTATTTTTATTTGTAACAAGTACTATCTACTAAGATAGTTATTAGCAAAACCCTGTAAATTAAGAAATTTATTCACGTTTACCAAAAAAAGAAAAAAAGAAATTTAATCACTGACAAAGCAATGTATCTAATTTAACATATAATAATGGATTAAATGTAGTAAAAATCTAAGCTTGTTACTTGAAATAACTTTTAAGGTTCTGTCATATTATGCCTCGTCAGTCGTCACCCTGTTTCTATAAATTGACAGCTTGATGTCACTGTGCCTGTGCTACCTCCATCATGCACGAAATAATATCTTAGTTTCTTCCTAATTCAACTTAACCATCCAACACCAACAAATTCAACTGCTAATTGCCAAAATTGTTTAGTTAGATCCCTAGTTACTCGATTACTACATTTTACCCTTAATCTAAAGCTTACATTATTAATAGAGTGGAATGGAATAAGTAAAGATGGAAAATAAAAAAAAAATGAATTAGATTAATTTATAATATATATAGAGAAAAATTATTTATCCTTTTAAATGACATATAGTTATGTCATTTTAAGTGAAGAAATACACAACCTAGTATTTTTTTATTTAAATTTTAATTTTTTTAAAGGAAATCCACTCTCTCTCCGTGATTTTGATTGCTTGTTTCTTTTTTTCACTTAAAATGATATAATTCTATATCATTTAAAAGGACAAACGCTAAACCATATATATATATATATATAGAGAAGAATATTTGTCCTTTTAAATGACATATAGTTGTTAGAGGTATTCGCGGTCTGGATTGGATCGGTTTTGGAAGCAAAAATCATCTGATCAAATCCCTTCGGTTTGATCATGTAATCATCCATTCAAATCCGATCCGATCCGATCCAATTTTTTTCGATTTGGATTGTATCTATTTTCGGTTTTTTGAAAATCCTAAAATTTGTTTTATGATTATTGTGCAAATAACATATTCGGTATATATTGGCTTTGTAATTTTATTTTTTTTAAATACAAAAGCATCAGTAAACGATAATATAGTTTTATTTTTTTGCACAATGAGAACGATAATATAGTTTTATTTTTTTGCACAATGAGATATGAAGCTCAACATAGATGTAATATTTTGTTGATGAGATGTGACTAGTTTTTTCTTGAGTTTAGTTGATGGGTTAATAGGTCTTGAGTTTAGTAGGTATAGAAAAATTAATATATTAGATCGGTTTGGATTGGATTGATTTTCATCTACAAATTCAAAAACTGATCCAATCCAATTAAAATTTGCGGTATTTTTTCGGTTTTCGGTTTTTCGGTTTTCGGTTTATTCGGTTTTCAATTTTTCGGTTCGGTCACCGCAGTTTGAATTGGTTTGGATCGGTTGATGAACACTCCTAATAGTTGTGTCATTTTAAGTGAAGAAATACACAACCTAGTATTTTTTATTTAAACTTTAATTTTTTTAAAGGAAATCCACTTTCTCTCCCATGATTTTGATTGCTTGTTTCTTTTTTTCACTTAAAATGATATAACTCTATATCCTTTAAAAGGACAAACGCTAAACCATATATATATATATATATATATGGGATATGATCTTTTGACACCGGTGTCAAATTTAAAGATTGACACATCATCTAAAAGCCGTTAGATTAAAAAATTAATGGTTTCACATGCTGACAAATTAGAGTCGTTTATCTTTTTTGTTCTAACGGCTCTCAGATGAGATATCAAACTTTAAATTTGACACTGCTGTCAAAGAATCCTACCTATATATATAAGGATAGGATCCTTTGATAACGGTATCAAACTTTAAAATTTGACACAAAATCCTAATAAGTTTGATTCCCAATAAATGATAACCGTTGATTGGTGAAATTCAACGGTTAAAATTTGGTGTCAAATTTTAAAGTTTGACACTAATATCAAATGATTCTGTCCATATATATGTGTGTGGGGGGGGGGGAGGTTTTTTTTACACCAGTGTAAGACTAATATGTCTTACACCGGTGTAAAATGATCATAATCATATAGGGGCAAGATCATCTTACATCAGTGTAGAAATAATAAGTTTTACACCAAATCTGAAGTTTTTATTTTCGTGCATATAAGAGTTGTAATTTATTGGGAATTAATAATATATTAATAAGTGAAACGCAATAAATCTCAACCTTTAGATGCATGGAAATCAACGGTTAAGATTGGATGTAAGACTTATTATTCTTACATCGATATAAGTGGATGTTATCCAATATATATATATATGTGTGTGTGTGTGGTGGGGGGGGGGGAGTTAGATTTACAAATTTTTTGTTTATAAATTCTTACAAATTACACTAAGTATGACCGGTCATACTTCAATCAAGAGTGTATGACTGATCATACTTAATGTAATTTTAAAAAAAAAATTATAAACAGAACTTTTCCCCGTGTATATATATATATATATAAGCTTTAAACTTCTCATGTAAGAAGAGGAAAAGTATAAAGCTTCTTGTAAAGAGAAGAATTCGTGAGCCATACATTTTTTTTAAGTTAAACACAGAAATCGAAGGGTGAATGACATGAGATAACACTTTTCTTAATGCCATGAGAAGTGTTTTTCCTGTATATAAATGGTTTTATTAATCTCGTGTTAAATGAGATAAATTATCTCATATCATAAAGATAAATTTGTGGGCTCCATCACCTAAAAAAAATAAAAAAATAAAAGAAAAAAGGTGACACGGTTATCGAATGGTGTGTAGAAGAAAAAACTTACCTCATGTAGAATGATAATAGTTTTTTCCATACATAAAAGGTAAAACTAATTTTATATTGCATAAGAGAATGTATCTTATCCTGTAAAACAAAATCAAGTTGGGTCTCATTAAAAAAAATTCAAGATGGGACTCACCTTGATTTTATTTCACAACATAAGATACACTTTTCTATGTAACGTAAGATTAGTTTTATCCATATATAAATGCTTTTTGAGTTTCTTTCCATTCCAATTTATTTTTAAATTTCCAAACAAGTGAGATTAATTACCATTTCTTTATTTCTTTTCAATTTCTCTCATTATTTGCGATCCAAGTATTGTAACAGTGTGTGGTAAAATATAAAGATACAAAGCGTGCCACGGAAAAAGAGAGACAAAAATGAAAAGTGTCACAATGCAAAAAATAATATAATTTATGTGGAAATATGTTATTACGCAGACTTAGTTTATTGTATCACGGGTGTTTGGTATGAGAATATTTTTGATATATGAAAAAGTGAGGGTGGATTTTCTAGAATTTCATGTTTGGTAACATATTGAAGAAATTTTTTTCCAAGAAAAGTTGTTTTTCCGGATTATATTTTGTGTATATTTTCTAAACCAAAATATCACTAAAAAATATCATCCGAGAGGTGGTATTTTAAGAATTTCCGACGATGAAAAAATATGAATTAATTTTTTCAGACAAAAATAACCAAATATAGTATAAATAAAATTAATCCAATATTTATATAAATATTTTGGCCTATCAAGTAACTTTTTAGTAATATTTTCGAAAAACTCATTTCTCATCATAATCTCGATAGTCGTTATTTTTGAATAAAAAATAATTTTTCCTCTATCAAATGTTCCCTAATTTTTTGAAAGGATTTATATTTATATATAGGTAAAGTGAGATAAATATTATCTCATCATAAAAGATCTCACTCATTTGCATACATATGCACTAGACGGGCTTTTTTACCCTTATAACCTTTTATTAATAATTAATTATTAAATTAACTTTTATTATAAACTATTTCGAAAAATTTAACCCTCTCAAAAAAATATAACACCAGTCTGCCCCTGTTTGACCGTTGACCACCAAGCCTACCCAGGTACACTTTTTTACACACACACACATATATTTATATATATAGGGTTTAGCGGATGTCTAGTGACTGTACCTGAGGATTGGAACAGTGATATAAAACTACATCGTTTTATAGTGTAAAGGCATCAAA